AAATTTATAATATATATAAACATATATTAACATATCTAAAATAATCTAAATATAGATTAAACAATATAAACATAATTTAATCATTAAAATTAAAAAAAAGAAAATAGTGCTAAAAAAAATTATAAAAAAATATAAATATTATTTTTTTAAAATGAAGAAAAGAATAAGATTTTAAAATATGGCAAAATAAATAAAATAATAGAATTAAAATCAAATTTAAATTTTGAATTAAACATAATATTCATTTAAACTTAAAAAACTTTTATAAAAAAAAAAAAAAATTTAAAAAAAATATTAAAAAACATATGCTTGCATATAAATCTTCTAATTAAAAAAAACATTTTTATTAAATATAATATGAAAATTAAAAATAAATATAAATTATTTATTATATAAAAATGAAGATAAAAATATGATATAAAATTAAATAAATAAAAATAAAAATAATCAATATATTAGATATTAAATTATAAAAGAATAAATAAATAAAAATTATATATAAAATTTGTAAAAACAATAATATATTATATATATATATATATATAATACAAATAACTTTTATATTAAAATATACATATTTTTTATCTTAATATTTTAATTTTTATTAATAAACTTATTACAATTAATTCATAAACAATAATTTAATCAATAAAATAAATATTTAAAGTGCAATATTTTAATTTTATTGTAAATACTATTATTTTTTATTAAATTATCTTTTGCATAATTTAAATTTCTAATATATAAAAGTAATTCAAATATATCTTTTATTAAAATTATTCAATAAATTTATCTTTAAATCCTAACAAGTTAAGAATTTATACATTCAACTATTATACCTTTTACATAAAATAAAAAAATTAAAATATAATTATGTTATATTATGTTTTTTAAAAAGATTTTTCTATAAAAATATAATATATACAAAATTTATTATTTTTTTTTCTAATAAAATGCTTAATTTTCAAATGAAATACACCTTATATAATATTCTTTATTAATATTTTTAAAAAATTTTTAAAATAAGAAAAAATAAATAGCAAATTATATATCATGATTGTATTTTCAAAAATAATATATTTAAAGAATTAATAATATTTTTAAGAAATTATCTTACAATAGAGAATTAATTATTAAAATAAATATAATATTAAATTATAGCTTAATATTTAATTTTTATGTACTTTTTTTCACCTCATGATAGAAAATTAAACATCTTTTTTAGAACTCCTAAATATATGTATCCTGAAATAATCAAGAAACTTATATATTCGGGGTAAAATATAGGTAAATGAATTTATGTTATTGTTTTATATATCCCCGTTTAAAGTAAATTACAATATTAATGTATTTTTTTTTTATAATATAAATGTTTAGTTATTAAGGTTATTGTTTGAATAACATATTTTTTTATAATAACAAAAAATATATTGAAAATTCTAATATCAAAATTTTGAAAATAAATATAAGAAATATTTTTTTTTTTAATATATATTATATATTATTAATTAATTAAATTATTATATAAGATAAATTTATAAGTATTTGTTTTTTATTATTTAATAATTAAATTATTATTTTCCCTCTTAATAGTATTTTAAAGCGCAATAAAAAAATATAACTAAGTAAAACCGTCACTAGACTAAAGACAAAGGTTAAAAATTCAATATAGCTAAATATCATGAAAAAACATATACATTTTTTGAAAAGTCTAAAGTTAGTACAAATAAAATATCATATAAATCAGAAATGTCTGTAACAAAGAAAAGACACAAGAAAGTTTAAAAAAATCTTATAGGAATTAAATACTTAACAAATATAAAAATCCGATATGAAATATTAAAAATTATCAAAATAAAAAAACAAAAACTCACCAATTTTAGTATCAAAAATAAAAAAAGATATAAAAAAAAATATATATTTTATTACAAAAAAAAATATTTTTTTATTTATTAATATAATAATATATATATATATATATATATATATATATATATATATAAATATATTTAATTTTTATAATATAATTTAATTTAAATATATATATAATATTTTATGATATAAATTTTATTTTATAATTTAATCTAAAAATATTTAGATATATACATTTATTTTTTTATTTATAAAAAAAAAAATATACAAAAATAAAAAATAGAAATTATTTCCTAATCTAAACATTTTTTTAAAAAATTAATATTTTTTTATCAAAATAATAAATAAAATATTATAGTCTATACTTATTTTTAATAACAAATATATTTATAATTGTCAATCAAAATATTTGATCTAAAAGCTTTACATTAAATAAATTTCCAATTTTAATGCTTTGAATAATGTTCTTACAAGTCTAGTATACCTTCTGTAATTTGTAATTTATAAAGACATTATAAAAATTAAATATCTTATTGTTGATAAGCTTAAACCAATTATAAATACATCAAAAAAAATACCTAATGTATAAAATAATAACCACTAATTAGATTCTTAAGAATTACTTTAAGAAATAGATACTAATAAAGAATAATATAAAAACGAAATAATACCAATTAAAAAAAATAGTCCAAATATTTTGATAATTTTTTTTTCAGATTAAAATGTCATACCTATTAATTTATTAATAATATTTGACACTATAGCTAATGAAAAGTTAAGAAATATTTTCTAATGAATAGTGTAATCTAAGGTAAAAACACAATTCACAACCATTGAAAATAATAATTTAAAATAATAAAGACTTAATCTTGTGACTCGGCTTAAATTTTAATCAAATAAAGTAAACATTTCTAACATTCCATGCATTCTTAATAAAAAAGAAAATCTATTTTATTTAATATTATTCAATAAACAATATAAATTAGCTTAATTTTTAATAAGAAAATCATTATCAATTATATTTAAATCATTATTTCCTTTTATATTATAATATTTTTATTTTTCTATAAATATAATAAAAAAATAATTACCCATTTCTATATTTTTAATGCTTTCAAGTTTAACTTATGTAGGATATATTTATATATTTTATTTCATTATATTTTTTAACGTTCCATAGCAATTACTATTAAATTTTTCATCATTTTAATAATAACTTTCTTTTTTTTCAATTTATTAACATAATTATAATTTATTTCTTTAAGAAATTCGCATTTTGCTTAAAAAAAGTTTTTTTCTTGTAACTCTATTTTTTTAAAGAATGTCACTTTATTTATCAAATGCTTACTCGAATTTAAATTCTAAACTAGATTATTTTGAATTAAGTTTACATTAATTTTATTTTAAGTTAATTTATTATATATTTTATTTTTATTCATTTTATTATTAGTCAATTGCTTATTCTTAGTATATTTCTTGTTCAATTTATTATTATTCTTGTTCTTATTCATTTTATTATTAGTAATGTTCTTATTCATTTTCCACATTTTCCACATTTTCCACATTTTCCACATTTTCCGCATTTTCGACATTTTAAACATTAAAAACAAAATCATTATTTTAATTTATATTTTTATTATATTTAAAATATGATTAATATTTATTAACAAGGGAAAACTATTTATTTGGACAAACTTATTCGTCATTTATTAATTCTTTTTTTACATTTTAAAATTTTTAAAAAATATAAATAAAATTATTATTACTTTATTCTTATATTTGTTGCAATTTTATTATTTTAAATGATTGTTAGTTTTAATGTTTTTAGTTTTATTCTTAAGAAAACAAAAAATCAGTTAATTAATTTTTTTTTATCGAACTTTACTTAAAATTATCATTTTCTAATTTATCTAATTATTTTAATTTAAAATATAAAAAAATATAAACTATAAGTAGTCCAGCAGAAATCCAAATAGAAGAATATTCATACCAATTATGTAAATTTTATATGTTTTATATTCCTTTTTCAGAAAAAATATTTAATAAATTTTCATTTTCAGTAAATATTCCTTTTAAATCGTTTACAAGAGTTTATTTACCTTAAGATTTACATATACAGGAAATTTACTTGACATCTTTATCATTGTTTTCCTCTAAATATTTTTAACAATGTTTGTTTGTCCATTTATTTTCCACATATGATATGCACTAGAAATTGCTGGAATTTTTAATAGGTTAACTTAAATTAAATTTATTATTAAATTTAGTAGGATATTATTATTCTTTTGTTTATTTATTATCTTTATCAACTTCATTATAAGTAATAGATTTATCATAAATTTTATATTCTTATTTTTCTTAATAAGGAAACTAGTAGTCATATTTTACTACATTAGGAGGATACTCCCTAAACTATACATTATAAATTTTATCTTTGTTTTATTCATTTTCTAATAATAGCCTTTCTTCATAAAATTCATTTACATTAGATAAGTAATTTTAAATTAATTATTTAAAAGTTGTTTATTAAGAAATTAAAACTTTTTCATAAGAAATCGAGTCTTCATTTGGGATAACATTATAATTTAATATTTTAGAAATATATTTAATAATTTCTTAATATTTCTTATCTAAAATAATATTTTGTTCTTCTGTAAATTTATTTCTTTAAATTTATTAAATATAGTTAATTATTTATGTTTATTATAATACGCATTATTATGCTAAAAGATATTTTTCATATTAATCAGTATTTTCAGCTTTTATACTTTAAAGGATTTCTTTTTAACTATCTAATTATTACATCACATAACTAATATAATTTTCAATATCATCATATGATGATGTATGTGTAATGACATCTACGAAATTTTCAAAAATAATCTTTATAGACTCCTATATTTACAGTTTATAACCAGTAAATATCTAAAATTATTTTTAATAATTTAATAATTCATTCAAAATATATTTTTATATGCCTTAAATTTTTTCATTTTTTTTCAAACTTTGAAATTCTTTATGATGTACAATATCATACAAAATAGTATTTAGAAAAGTTACTTCTTGTTTTAAATTATTATATTTTTTTTATTTGTACATCTATTACTTAACTTAAAAATACAACATATTAATCTTAATTTTCTTAACTTTATTTAATATTAATTGTTTAAGTTATATTCCTTATTCCCCCATAAGAATCTTATATTTTACACATTAATAACCCTGCTCCATGAGGCAATATAGCTTCAAAACTATTTGTTTCTATATTTTCTATTAATAATTATCTTTAAGTTTACAATCCATTTAAAATTTCTTTTTAATATGTATCTTGATTATCGTAAAAATAAAAAGAATAAGAAAGAGGAAGATCTTTATCTGCACAATTATTAATAACAAAATTAAATTTTGTTTTTAAACTTTCTCCTTCAAAATTATTCACATTATCTACGATTTAACAATTCTGGGGACCAATATTTACAAATAAATTATAAGTTAATAAAGCAGGCATTATAAACAATGGATCGTAAACTGAAAGTCTTAATTATAATTAATTCTCACTTTCAGATAAAAAATTAACAAAATAATTCCAAATTTAAAGTCTAGCTTAATTAAAAGCAAACTTTACTGTTTTTTATGCTTCATTTTAATATAAAAAAACTCCACTAAAAAAAATATTATCTATATTTAAGCTAGTTCCATCATATTATAATGTAATATAAATTTATTCATTCATATTTAATCTATTCATTAAATTTTTAACGGATAAATCAACCTTTAAAGGAGGAATATCATAATCAACTACTTAGATTAGCACATTATAAGAATAAACTGTTGCTCCCTTTATGGCTTCGAAAATAAATTTATAAAATTAATAAGGATTTAGAACTTTTTTTTCAATTGTAATTTAAGTATTCTATTTAAAAGGAATAACATTACCCTTATAATCTTTACATTAATTATCCTTATCACTATCACTTAAATTTTTGCAACTCCATTATATTGTTGTTCCGAAATTGTTTTTTATTGCTATTTCTCTTTCTTATTCACTTAAATCCCTATCATTTATAAAACCTTCAATATGAGTAGGTTTAGAAAAAGGTTAAATCCTACTTCCTCCTTAAATTTAAACAATTAAATCACTTTATTTCACTTTAAAAGTTAATGTTTTTTCTTTACTAGGAATTTTAAAATTTTATGATGTGACTTTGATTTTGATCTTATAATCAGTATTAACATTCACTTTAAAAGGTTTGATAGAGAACAAATGAATATTTTCTTTAGTTTTTATTGATTATTTTATTTCCAAATCCTAATCCAAATGGTCCTCTTGTTCAATTTGAATTTCATATGTGTCATCTAATTTATCATGAAAGCCTATACCTTATGTATACTTTCTAGTTGCAAAACTCAACTCTATATTAACTTCTTAATATCTATAAATTAAATTTGATTCATATTATACTTCAAACCAAATTTTATAGTTAGGATAAACATTTATAATTGCATTAGTATTATATTCTTATTCAAACTATGAAACGGCAATAACATTAAATTAATATTCAGCCCCATCTAATAACGTAAAAGGCTATAACTTTAAAATAATATTATTTTATTATCCTTAAATAATTTCATTATTAAATTAAACTATTTTATCTTTGGTTAACATTGAGCATGATTATAAAGACCATGTGATTTTTTTAAATGGTTTTTTTCCTACATTTTTAATTTCAGTAATTTAAATTTTTCCTTCTTAGTAACTATATATTTTTTCTGTAAAAACTATTTTTGCCTCAGCCTTTAATGGATTTGAACTGTATTCTAATTATTTTGAAATTTATGTTAAATATTTTGTAGATTTATCTGTATCGTAGATTATTTATAATTTTTTAGGTTACATTACTATTAGATCTCCTTTATTTATTGTACACTTCAAAGGATCTAATTTTATTGTTATTACATTATCACACAAAGAACAAGAAATATCTCCTTAAAGTTTATCTAAAATTAAAAATTCTTAACATAATTTTAAAGTAAATTGATTTTATTAGGCTATACTTAAAAGACTTGGATCGAGTATATTTAGTTTAAATTATAATGATTCTTTTAACTCTCCAAGAGTAATTTTTATTTCTTCAAAATTATCACTAAATTAAGCTTTTGAAATTATATCTTTATTATTTAAACATTTTCCACTATTAATATTAAAATATTAAGGATATGCACAAGAAATACAATTTTCATCTTTAAATTTTTAGCAACCTAATTCACCTATTATACATTTTTTTGTGATTTTATCTAAAATAAAGCCTGCTTAACATGTTATACATTATGTTTCGTTATTACAATCTGAACAATTATCTATACATTTTATACAATTACCATTATATAAAATATATGGCTTAAAACATTAGCTACAATCATCAGTTGTAGTGCAAATTTCGCAATTTATTTTACAAAAATATATAGTTAAGTATATTTCTTATATTCCTAATATAAAAGAATCATGATGATTTTATAATGTAAAAACAACATGTTAATTTTCAATAAAAACATTATAATAAAATTAAAGAGTATTTAATTTATTACTAAAACTAAAGTTGCTTATTTAATTATATAAAAAACCTTTTTTAACTTTTTTTTTAAAATAGTTTGAATATATAAAAAATAGTTGATATTAAAAAGCTGTTCTTTAATCATCTATTTTTTTTTTTATATTTATTTCGCATCCTTTTATACAATTATCTGAATTATCAATAATTGTAGAAATTTAATCCATAGTTACATTAGCAGATTTAGAAATTACTACAACATTTAAAGATTTGCAAACTTAAAGACTTTTAACATCATAATTAGGTTATATATTACAAGAAGAATTTTATGTCTATGTGAAAATTATTTTTAGAAAAGAACAAAAGAAAATAAAAAATTATAGCTTTTTTTTTTTTTATAAAAATATTTTTTTTTAATATATATATTAAAATATTTATGATTATAAAAAATAAAAGAATAATCATTTACAAAATAATATAAAATTAAGGTATAATAAAAATCAAACATAATAAAATTTATTTAATTTTAGATAATGAATAGAAAATAAATAAAAATAAAAAATAATAAAAAAATAAAGAAATAAATAAATTATTTATAAAACGATTTTCTATCTTTTATTATATTCTTAATTTAATTTTTTATATTTTTTTATATCATTTTTATATATTTTAAATTTGACTATTTTTTTATTAATCTCTTATTTTTAATATTATTTACATTTTTTTTTTATTATAAATGTATTTTTTTAATTTAAAAATATATTATTTATAATAATTTTTTTTTTTTAACTTTATTAACTGTAAATATGATTAAAAAATATATACTATTTTATTATAATTTCTTTATAAAAAATACTTCAAAAGACAAAATTTAAATATAGGTTTTTTAATTTATAATTTATAATTTAGATTTTAAATTTTATTTTTAAATTTATTTATTTGAATTTTTTAAATTATTAAATTATATAAAAACTTATAAATTTATATTATATATATATTATTAACATATTTATTTTTATATATAAAAACCATAGAATTAAATATAATATAAATATATTTATATATATTTTTATATATGTTTAAATGTATTAATTATTATTATTAAATTAATCTATTTATTTATTTGGAAAATATTATTATATTATTATATCAAAACCAAAAAATATATAACACAAAAATCATTTTTTAAAATAATTAAATGTTAATAATATATATATTAAATAATAATTATAATTTTGTTTTTTAAAACATTTATGATTTTTAATATATTTGTAAATAATATATATTTTTTAATACACAATTTATTATTATTATTTTTTTTTAATTAATTTGAATTTATATTATTTTTGTTTAATAATAATAATGCTATTATTTATTCTCTTTTCTTTTATTCAAACTGGTTTAGTTTTTTTGTTCAAATATTGATAATAATAATATCTTTACAAGTAATAATTTTTTAATTTGTATTAAGTTAATAGATCATTTAATACATAATACTTTCAAATATAAAATTATTATTTTTATTAAAATTTTTATATTTTATAATTTTTTTTATATTCTTAAATAAATATTTTCTTTTATAATCTAAAATTTTTCTATTTATTTAGCTATTCTTTCTAATAATTTATATAGTTATTTTATTATGATTTTATTTATTTAGTTTTATTTTATTTATTTTACATTTTTTCTAATTACATTTTTTTAAAAAAAGTTAGTTTTATTTTTTCCAATTTTTTTTTCTCAGAAAAATTCTTATCTGAATTTTTTATATTAAAACTTTTAATCTTCTTTTATATTTAACTATTTTATAATATATTTTATTTTTTTTAATACATTTTAAATTGTTTCTTTAATTTAATTTAAATTATTAAACTATATGAATATTACATTTTCAATGTAACAATTGTAAAAAATACTAAATATCATTCATTATACTAATATTTTTATGAATTTTTAAATATACAATAAAATATTTAAAAATGTTATTTTTTTTTTAAAAAAATGATTATTACAAAAACAATGTACATTCTTTAATAATGTATTTAATTATTAAAAAAAATATATTAAGACCGTTTCTTTTAACTTACACATATTTGTAGCAAACTAAAAACTGTTATGAAATTAATTTAAATATCTAGAATGATTGTCGATTTCTAATTATATAGAAATATAAAAAAATATATATATATATAAAAAAATAAATATATGTATTTATATATATATATATATATATATATATATATAAATATAAAATTATATTTAAATTATATATTTATTTTTTCTATATATTTTTATATGGTTTTATTCCTATATAATATGAATATCTTCTACAATAATTATTATAATTTTTTTTTAGTAAATCTTTATTATAACTAATAATCTTTATTATTTACATAATTACTTATTTCTTTATCATCATTTATTTTTTTTTCTTTATTTTTTGTATTATAATTAAATTTCATTATAACATCATATTTGTTTGTTTTTTATTTTATTTTTATAATAATATAACTTGTCCTATCATTCCTATTTTAAAGTATTTACCTTTATTTTAAATTAATAAATAAACATATATGTTTTTTTATTAATTTTAATTTTTAACAAGAATAAAATTGTAATTTAAAATATACATAACACTATTGAAAACCTTATAAATTATTCAATCAATAAAGAATGAAATTCTAATTTGCAATATCAGACAAAACAGTTATAAAATTTTCTTTATATCAAAATGAATTTGAATATAAATCATTTAATAATATAAATAATGTGTTTTTTTAATAATTTTTATTTTTTAAGTTTTACATTTTATTAAATATATGATTAAAATTTTAATCTTTAAAGGTTAAATATTAGTTTAGTCCAAAAAAACTTTAAAATAAATACAAAAAATTAAAAAAAATAAAAAATTAATTTATTTTTTCCAACAAAAACTATATTCCGCTTTCTTTTTAATAAAATATGACATAGTTTATTTTAAATCTATAAATGTAAGCAATATATAATTCTAAAAACTAAAATAAGTAAATATTATCACAAATTAAAATGTCAAATAGTATATATATGAAATTTTGTAAACTTTAAATTAATATAGATAGATATATCGACAGATTTTAAAGAAAAAAAAGAAAATAAGAAGGATATGTATGATTAATTATAATTGCATATAAACAATATTTTAAAAAAAAAATAGGTAAATTATATTCGAAAAAAATATATAAAGTTTTAAATGAGGTATATTAAAAATAGCAATTAAACATCTACATATAATAAAAATTCGTAATTTAATAGCGCTTATTATATAAAAATAAATAATATATGATAAGCTTAAAAAAATGTTTAAAAATAAATATATATCAATATTAAAAATAAAATAAAAAAAAAATCTTAAATGTAAATAAATTATGGCTCAAAAGAAATAAATAAGATTTTTAAAAAATTAAAAAAAAAAAAAAAAGAAGAAGATACTTTAAAATAAAAAATTAAAATTTATGGTAAAAAAAAATAATAATAAATTATTATATTAAATAAATTATAAAAATATAAATATAAATATAAATATAATATAAATATAAATAAATATATATATATTTAAATATATATATATTTATATTTTTTAATATTAATTTTGATTATATTTTATACATATTTTTATATTATTATTCATATAAATATATTTATTTTTTTATATATTAATATTAATTAAAATTTCAAACCTTAATATATTATTTTGCATTTTTTATTATATTTATTTATTTAGTAATAAAATATTTCTATAATAATAATTATAAATTTTTATATTATATACTATATGTATATAAAAGTTTATATAATATATAATGTTATTACTCTTATATTTTTTAATTTTTAAAATAATTTTTATTTTTATATAATTTTTTTTATATTTAAGATGAAAGTATATAATAATTTTT